CCGCACTGAAATGGGACGAGACAGAAGCGAAAGGTGGTTCTTAAAGAGACAGAGGCCAATTTCAAGGTGTTTAGAAGTGGAAGTGATGAGAAGATAAGTTTATTTTCTATTTAAACATAAAAACAGCATTTTAATAACAGCTAAATGTGACATAGATAGTTTATAATGGTATAGTATTTAAATATATGCCTGAGAAACATAATATTGCCCCTTTAAATATTAATGTGCTACTGCTTTATTCTCAGATATTTTATTTCTCAGAAATGTTAATGTACATCCCCATATTATACTGCTTATATGGGCAAGAAAATAAATATGTAAAAATTATCCACAGGGACTCTTCTTATTATGAAATTGATATAGAAATATTTAAAGCAATATCAAATCAAATCGTAACCCAAAGTACTGAAACTGAATTGAATTGTAAGGTTGTTAACAACACCCAGCCCTATATGAGATTACACTAAACTGAATAAAATAAGAAAGTGGCCAAAACAGATTAAAAAAATACAGATAAAGTTGGACTGTTGAGCTGAGGTAGCTGTAAAAAAAGGAGATCTAGTAGATTCATGGAGAAGTTGGGTTTTAAACGGCCATATTACTTTTCCCACAGATTCAGAAGAAAAACTCAAGGACAGATGCCACAACAGATACCCAAACCTCCTCTGCTCTGTCAGCAGCCAGCTCCTCAAACCTCCTGTGACAGAAATAATTAAGCTGTCTGTCAGCATCACAACGGAAAGTTTTTTTTCTCAACCAGCTATGTTCCCTGCTTTTACCYGCTCAGTCTTATTAACAGCTTCCTCTCCTTTTCTTTTGGACTTCTCCAATTTCTTAAAAACAACATCTTATATACACTCAACACTCTCCGGGATGTTCTTTTTTTTAAACATCCATTATCATCTCCTGATCAAGTGCTCTGATGCACTTTAAAACACATCCAGATCAGTCCCTTTATTTTTTCCCTGCTTGAACTTGGCAAAAATAAGACAAACGTACAAGTCTCCATGTTTTGCAGGACCATATTGATTAAATTGTTTGCGTAGCAACAGTCAGAATCAACCTCCAACCTTTCCAAGCTTGACACAGCATAAAAGTAACAGCTCCGACCAGAAATGGAGCTTAAAGACATGTTGAAATATTTTCTCTGTGGAAAGCTAATAAAAGGGTTCAAGAGTAAAACTTGGTTTTAGGTCCTGTGATGACCAATGTTGTGAAGTGGCCCCATATAAATAGAATCACTTAAATTCTGTCACACATTTTTTATTTTCTAGCATTGTTTGGGCATGTGAGATAATATTTTTATTTGTAAATAAAAATTTACAAATTTACACACACTCACACACACGCTATACACATATATACATTCATAT